AACCTCTACTTCCCTCTGAAATATGGCCCACACTTCCCACCATGTATATCTGTGTCCACAAATATACATCCAAGTCACAGTTTCCTGGACCCATACTGATTCTTAGGGTGATCACTCACTTAGCTACTGAGGAGTGGGAAGACTTTGGGACTTGTAGATACAAAATTGTAAGGGTTCTATTCTCCCTAGCCCAAAAGGCTTGACCATAAGACCTCTCTAAAGATGATTCCCCACCATGACACAGGTGAGCAAAGCAGGAAGTACAGGAGGCCCTTTCTCCAGCTTCTGTTTGCTGCTGAGATCACAGATCTCCCATTTTTAAACTTTATTATTTTTTTTGGAGGGTCAGATTGTACACCTGTGGAGCTCATCAAGTCTTTCCTTTTATTCTTTTGCCTAAAGGCTGACTGAGGAGGGGATTCCCCCAGCTTCCTACTATTTTGCCTAGCACCTGATGTTAGTGCCCATTGTTTCTTTTACTAATCTAAAGTTCAATATTTCTGAATTTTCCTGGTCTCTAACGTATTGTTTACTGTAGCACTCCTGTGCCCGTCCACACCACACCTGATGTTTTGGGGGCATAGGAAAGTGCTTGGTGTCTCTAATCTCTCATCTTCCCAACGTCCTTCACTGGAAATGTTGAGTTTGAGATGCTTATTTTCAATTTGAGGAGACAAAAGGTACCTATTTTATCTACTTAAAGAGATAGTAATTTTACATATATACATACACACAAACAAGAAATATGAACTATATGACTGGGACCAGTATTACCTTAGACTAGTGAAAAACACACCAGGTATTAACAAAATGGGGGATAGAAAATCTAGAGAACAGTAAACAACCATTACTTTATTACAAAATACCTATTTCTTACCTGTTTCAATTCTTGTTCAAATCAATCATGTGTAAGTTAAACTAGCATGTGTCCCAATAACTAGACTTGCTGTCCATTTTGAAGGTATGTAAGTATTTTTTCTTTTCTATGGTAATTGTCTGTAGTATTCTCTTTCCACAGTTCAGAGAAGGCAAGCACTGTTTCAACAATAAAGCATCTTCGTATGTCAGCAGAAACATATTTAACAAGTACTATTTGGACATAAGTATTAAATAACATTAAACCCCCAGGTTTGAAAAGTTTTACCAGTATGTTTTTACCCATGCCTTGTTTTCCCCTGTATTTCCATATCTGGTTCTAAAAACAGCCCAAGAGGGCACTTACAAACTGTTGATTATGCAGTAAAACAGGAGTTGACAAGGTTGTCCCTTGGGTTTTTTTTTTAAAACTCATCCACCTTAAGGAAGTGAATTTCACGATAGCCTTTTGTTGTTACAGGAGGAGAAGCAGGATGGCATGTTGGAAAAAGCATGTACTTAAGAGGGAAAACTTTTATTGGTACTCTTGGCTAAGTTACCTAACCTCGTAGAGAGCCTAAATCCCTCATATATAAGGTGGGGTAGTAGTACCTACCTCATAGGATGCTTAGGAAGATTGCATACATTACTGGGTATTAAAGTGTCTAGCATGTAATGAATAGCCAGTAAATACTGTCATGTATTGCCTTTCTTTCTCCACTTCTTCCTGTTCTGGGCTCCCTGTCCTCTATTTGACTTTATTATTTGCCTCCTGAATGTTTTGCAAGATTTATTGATTTCCTTTTCATTTCCACAATTCGGTAACTTCTCATTTCTGGGAAATTTTTCCTACCTGAACATTTTCTGTTACGTCTAGAGATAAAGTGAAGAACCAGATAGTTTTGTGTTAGGTATTTGCATAAAATTTTTAAAAATGAGTAGCAAATACCTCTTTGTATTTTACATACCTTTTTTCAAAAGGTTTTTATTTTATGAGCACTGTGAATACATGATTTTAATGCTATATGTAATTTTAACCTTATTTAAACAAATTAATTTTCTATTTGAAGTAGTTAATACTGAAAAGTTTCAGTGTGGTGTGTATACACACACATTAAATACTTGCTCTTTGGAATTTAATTTTCATGTTCAGTATATTAAATGGTTACTCTTTGTTTAAAAATGTTTTTATTTTAGATGGTGGATATGTGGCAGTAAATAAAATTGAGTCTTTTTGAAGTTTGCTTTCTAAAGTAAAGTTTTTTCATGCATAAAATTGATAAAAATTTTTGTATTTTTTATTTTGCTTATATGTACATACATTCTCTATGTTTAGGGACTTTTGTTGTAATAGATTATTTAAGGGACTATTTGAAGCTATAGCTCTGATTTTCAAATGCTGAAATCCTTAAATATTTGTTTCATTACTTTTGCTGTGTTCTATGAAGTTACTGTTTTATTTGCTGAAATTTATTTTATATAGAATATACTAGCATTGGAGATGTAGCACTGGCTTAGTTTGAGAATATTTTTTGTTCATTCAGTATGTACTCTCTTAGACTCTCTCTTATACCAACCTGGCATAGGAATTTGAATCCAGGTCTAGATCCAGTGTGTATTCATGATATTATGTGTATTCACAGTTGGACACTAGAACTGTAGAGATCAATAGATTGTCAAGAAAATAAGGATATGTTTAGATTTAGTAACTAAGGAGTGGTTATTAATAATCTTGGAAAGAATTTTTTTTAAATATGTTAGAAGAAAAGCTTATTACAGGGGCTAAGGAAATTGAAGTATCAAGTATAAATGATTTTTGTTGGCAGTTTGGTAGTAAGTGGAAAGAGGAGACTGACCCATAGGTTTGAAAATATATCAGAAACAGAGAGGTAACTTCAAAATCAGGGATATGTGAAAGGTTTTAAGAGAGCACAAGGAGATGGAGATCAAGTGATTAAATACCATGAAGAGAGAGGAGATAATTAATGCCATAATGTATGCGATAAATCAAAGAAGATAGTGCTAAGGCATGAGTAAAAGAGGTTTGGAATTTGTAGAAGGAAAATTTTCATTTGCAAGAGAAGAAAATAAAAGTGATTGAAAATAAAAGTTTTTAAGATGGAGAAAGTTAGCCTTTAATCTTCACATAAAGTTGAAGTTTGGGTCATTTGATGAATGGAGCAGAGTGAGAGGGAGATGGGAACTTTTGCAGGGAAAATATTGAAACACATGTTGAAATCAATGAGTCATAACAGTGACTCCTCCATTGAAGTTAGCATGTATTTTATAGAGACCAGTAATGTCCTAAAGTGGGAGTTGGCAAACTACAAATTGAAGACCATATTCAGCTCATGTAGCTTGTGAACTAAGAATTATTTTTGTTAATTGGTTGTAAAAAATAAAACAAAGCAGAATGTGTGCCAGAGACCATATATGACCTTCAAAGCCTGAAATATTTACTGTCTGGTCTTTTATAGAACAAGATGCTAACCCCTGTTTTATAGCTTTCTCTGGTTTTATAGACCAGAGAAAGCAGATAACTTAGAGGCTAGAGTTGACACACTGGACATGATTAAAGATCAAGGGGTGTTAAAGGAAGGGATACTACTAGTTGGGGGTGTTGGTGGAGGTGGACAGTTGGGTACAGGTTGAATAAGGAGTAAGAAAAGCCAGAAGACAGCTAATAGGTTGGATGAAAATGTAGGAAACTTGAGAATGAGAATGTAAAATATAGTGGTTTGAAACAAAGGTCACAAGTAAGGAAGTTGGAGGTGGAGAAAGGGGACACAGTTGTTTGACTTGGAGATAGAAGAGTTCCAGAAATTGCAAGAATAATCATTTCAGGGGTAGCTGAAATTTTTAGTCAGAAGGTCAGAGTGATAAAGCATCAAAAGTATGATGGCAAAAATCCTGAATATGATGACAAGGAGATTATGTAAGAAGAACTAATATGAGTTAAGTTACTGACATTTTTAAAATGGGAAATAAACCTAGATTGTGAGGTACATGATCATAATGAGGTAAGAATAGGCCAATGTAAGTAGGTGTGAACTGCTTATAAATGACAGAGAAAGTGATGGTGGCAGTTAAGTGGTCCCATGTTTGCCCTAGTAAATGAGGTAGGTTGCCACTTCCTCTTGATTTGGTAAGTGATAGAAGGTAGGTAAAAAAAGGCTGCAGAAAAATGTAATACTTTCTATCACAGATTAGATTTACACATAAATAGTCTATGAGTATGGGAGGAGCAAAGCAGTAGATTGTTTTAAGTTGTAAAATAAAGCCCTCAAAAGAACTGTGGTTGATTTTTTAACAGATGAATGTTTCATAGCTCTTCCTTGTAATAAATTTTTAGTTGACACTTGTACTTTTTACTATGCAAAATTCATTTTTGTAATAATGGAATTGTCAGGGGATTAATGCTAAAACTATCTCTTTATTTACCTGTGAACATAGACAAAAGTAACCTGGCAGATAATCTTCATTCAGAATATTAAAATTGGATTGGGCTACCAGGTAACTAGTAGCTACAAATTACTCAGGTATTACAGTAGCCTTTCCATGATATTAATGTAGAATCTGTATTGTAGTATATGAAAATTATTTGATACATATATAGGAATATAAAATGTATTCTAGCCTTAAATATATATAATTTTTATTTTTCAATTATACCTCAATAAAGCTGAAAAAAAATCCAGGAACAGAGGAGTCACCAGGCCTCTGAAAAAGGAAGAAGGAACCCTAGGTAGTTGCTTTATTTTTCTATATTGATTTACAAGATGATTTCTGTACATAGCATAATTGGGTAGTGTTTTCTGAAAGAAAGACCCTTTTCTGTGTTAAGAAAAAAAATGATAGTAGCCAAAGGGTAAATTGCTAGAAATTTTCACTGTGCTAAGTCAAAGTTACTGGTTATTTTTATAAAAAGCCTGTTAATTTTTTTCTGGAGAATTATACTATTTCCTGATAATATGAAATCTTAAAATACCTAAGACATTTAAAATGATACCTTTAAGTGGCTTTCAGTGAATAACCTTTGGGAACAGTCTTAAAGATTAACTTAAACTTTTATAGAGTCATATGCTTATGACAATGCCTTAATTATGTCATTTACTTTAATGTTTTGTTGCTGTGTTTTTTCTTAGTTCCACCTGCAAAGAAGGTAACCAAAACACAGTCCTCCCTTTCTGAAGGGACCCAGCAGCCAATGCAGTCTTCACAGGAAACTGTCGCGATACTACCAACACAACAGATAAGGAAATCAAGTCGAATTAAACCAACAGCACATACTTCAGTTCCCAAGAAGGGCAGTTGTCTCAAAAATGTAACACCAAGGAAAAAAAAGGTTAGTCATATCTCCTGCTAATTTGTATTATAGGTCTCTGCAGTCCCTTATTTTAACGTACAGTTTAGGAACTTGCTTAGACTCCATAGGCTCTTGAAAGCCTCACGTGGCTATTGAGAGATTGTTTCCCCCACCCCTTGGGTAAACTTGAAGCTTCTTATTTGATGTTCTACTTCTAAACCACCTCAGAAGTACAGAGTGGGTGTGTTTATGTTCAGGCTAGTTAATTTAAAACCTAGTATACTTTTAAAACCATCAATATGAAGTACATGTTAAATACATAAATTACACCTCAATAAATTGGTGGGGGATACAGGAGGCATTAATTTTATAAATTCAGTAATGCTGGAATTACAACCTACTGACCTGACTCCCCCCACAAAAAAAATCCTTAAAACCTAGAAATAGTAGAAAAAAGTAGCTAACTTACAATAAGACACTGGAGAATGAATGGAAGCAGATTCTGGTGGCAGGGAGATTAGACACCAAGAGGAAGGGAAGGGTGTTACATAAAGTGAGTTTTCATTTTTGTCATTTTAAACCTTGGGTCAGGTGTGCTTCATGTAGCATGTTAGGAAGCAGTGGTATTGGTGGAAAAACTACAGTTTATCTGGCCTAGGGAACCTAGAAAACAGAAGTCAGGGAAACCAGCTGCTGAAGACAAAGGACATACCTTGGAAGGAAAAGAGCCAAAGAGGGTATTCCAAACTCTTGTCTACCAGCATCTCTGACACACTACTGATCCAAGTATGTATGGATCACACAGAAACTAGCTTAGTTAAAGTAAAAGGTCTGCACTGAGGCTGGAGTTAGGCCTAAGATCCGAGTCTAAACTTTAAATCCAACCAAGATAATTAGTAGCTAAAACAAATGAAATAATAATCATCAAGAAAAATAGAACTCAGAAACTGTACAAATTAGCATTCATAATGTCTGGTAAAATTGCCAAAATACAATGACATGGTAAAATGAAACACATTTTCAATAGAAAAGAAATTTAACTGAGACAGACCCCAATATGACCCAGATACTAGAACTAGCAAACAAAAAATTTAAACTGATTATTGAAAATGTCCTTGGTAAAAAAGTTAAAAACATATGTACATATAATTGCAGTGATTAAAAATACAGGCCATCTTAAGAGAAATAAGGGATAGAAAGGAGCCAAATGGAAATCCAGAAACTGAAAAGTATAATATCTAAAATAAAATATTCACTGGACATAATTAACTAGAATTGAGTGGAGGTAACAGAAGAAAAAGTAAATCAACTAGAAATTAACCATTGTGAAAAACTGAGAAAAAAAAGATTAAGAAAGAAAATAAACAGAACATCAGGGACAGTTTAGGTAGTGTCAAAGGTCTAACACATATGTAGTTAGAGTATCAGGAGAAAAGAGATGCTGGGCAGGAAAGATACTGAAGAAATGATGTTTCATAATTTCCCAGGTTTCTTGAAAGATAGAAATATGCAAACACAAAGTGGGGCATATCTTTTCTAAAGAAAAAAGAGCAGTTAACATTTTTATATGTGTATGTTCTGCCCAACAATTCCACCATCTACAAATGTACAGTCAGAAAATAATCATGAATATTCAGACTTGCTTTATACAGGGAACCTTAAAAAAAATAAGACCAGTTTCACAGAGTGAACTAATTTGACAAGGTTTGATCTATTGCAGCAGAATGCAGGGCAGAGAATCCTAGGTCTCTTCTCCCACGTGGACAGCTCATGGGCCCTGGAAGAAGTGTTTGGAAAGTGCAGTTCATAATACGCACAGGGTTTTCAACCTTGAGAACTTCTGATAACTGATAATTTCAAGAGTAATGTGTTTTCTTTCTCTTTTTTAAACAGGAAAAAATTATTCCTGTGTTGTGTTCTACATCTTCAGCTTCTCTAAGGTCTCTGACTAGAGACCGTGGCAATAGGGATGCCATTCCTGGACCATCTAAAATAGTGATGTCTACAGGTAAATTCATATATATATATTTTTTTGAGGTACTGGGGTTTAAATTCAGGGTCTACACTGTGAGCCACTCCACCAGCCCTTTTTTGTGTTTTTTTTTTTTTTTTTTCAAGATAGGGTCTCTAGAACTATTTGCCTCAGGCTGGCTTCAAAACACGATCCTTCTGATCTCTGCCTCCTGAGTAGCTAGGATTATAGGTATGAGCCACCGATGCCTGGCAAATTCATATTTTAAAGAGTTATAAAATTCCCTTTTATTCTTGTGTTGTTTTCACTATCTTTGAAGTCCTGGAAATAAGAGTTTAAAAAGATAATAAGAGTAAACTTTTTTTACACATTTTTCATATTAAAGTACTTTGTAATGCATAATGATTGCTCATTTTGATGTTTAAGAAAAACAGTTTTCTTTAAATACACAAGTCACTTGAAAATTCTATGTTCTTAAAAGAATTATATCCATTTAAGTAAGATTCACAGCATTTACATCATTGTCAAATATATTATTTTCCCTTTATCTCTTCAAAATTTGTCATTTTATATCATATGTTTTCAAAGCTACTGCAAACCTTTTTAATGCAATACCTTTTGCAAATACTTTTTCTTGACAGATCCTTGCCTGTAAAAGGGCATGGTGACAAATTGTTCTTTGCCATGTGAAAAGTTTGAAAGATGACCAACCCAGAAAAATCAGTCCCTTTTATCATCTCCTCATATTTCCCTGTTCCTTTCCTGTTTTTAAAAAAGCACGTTCTATTGCTTCCTCTCCTACGTCTTTAATTATTTCCCTTACATTCTTCTATACCTTGGACTTTTCCCCCAATATTTTTCTTTCCTGACTAAAAGGAATTTATAATTTATTTTTGAAATAGAAATCACATTACAAAGGATTATTACATCATACCTCATTTTGCAGTTTATTTTCTGACCTTTAATCCATTAGCAGGACTAGCTAAATGAATACACGGTGACTATCTTTAATCCAAAAATCTGAAATTTAGATGCTCCAAAATTCAAAACTTTTTGAGCAGTAACATGACAACACAAGTGAAAAACACCTGACCTCATATGATGGGTTGCAGTCCAAACACAGGTGCACTAAAAATATTGCATAGAATTACTTCAGGCTGTGTTTATAAAGTATATATGAAACATAAATGGATTTTGTGTTTAGACTTGGCTCCTATCCTCAAGATACCTCATTATGTATATACTGATAATTTTGAAATCTGAAACAATTCTGGTCCCAAGTGTTTCAGATAAGGTATACTCAACCTATTATAACAGAAAAGAGATAAAACATTAAAATCCTTGTTTAGCTTCACTTGTGCTTAATAGAATGTATCCGTGTCTTCAGCACCATGAGTTAAGTTTTTAATTGCCTTTTCACTTATCTGTGAGAGTCCATCCTTCCTCTGGCTATTGCTACAAAATTGGATTATCATATATTTTGACATAATGAAACAGATAAATGAGTTTTTATTATATATAGACTATATATATGAAAAATGCAGTATAAATTAATGGGTTAAAAATACTGTGCTTCTTGATTTAGGAGGACAGAAGTTTTGATTTTTATAGCATGTGCTGATTTTCATTGGTTGATTGTGATAAAGAAAAATTATTGAAACTTGACATTTGTGTGATTATAGTTGAATTACTTCTGTATCCTATGCTTTTTTTATACTAAAAAAAAAAAGATCAAAAAGAATTAACCTAGAAGGTAACACCCACACACAGGAAATCAATGTGAGTCAATACCCTGTATAGCTATCCTTATCTCAGCCAGCAAAAACCCTTGTCCCTTCCTGTTATTGCTTATACTCTCTCTACAACAAAATTAGAAATAAGGGCAAAATAGTTTCTGCTGGGTATTGAGGGGGTGGGGGGGAGAGGGAGGGGGTGGAGTGGGTTGTAAGGGAGGGGGTGGGGGCAGGGGGGAGAAATGAACCAAGCCTTGTATGTACATATGAATAATAAAAGAAAAAAATTTTTAAAAAAAGTTTAATTTTTCAGTGAACCCTTGCATATATAGAAGGAACATTTTTATTTTCTTAAAATCAATAAATGTATGTCATGAGAACTTACTATGACATATACCTTAAATGTTTGGTTATTTAGAAGATACAGTTGAGGTACAATGTTGGTGATTTATAAGAAATTCAGTCCTAAAAAGGAGTATATCAAGATGACTAGTTTCAAGATGAAATTCTTATGCTATGTGTACAATTAAAAGAGGAAATACTCACCTATCTTTGCACCATTTTATATAATACAAAAATATATGAATTTTTTGTGATATTCTTAAAAATTCTAAACCATAGTTTTTATATACTCAGATTGGGCATAATTCTAAAATACTGAATAAACTTTTTGACTAATTTTTGTTTAATATCTTCATACAAATATTATCTACGTATTTTTAGGTAGCAGAAATAATCGATACTATATGTTTAAGTTCTCTTCGAGTGAGGTGACTAGTAGGATGTAATAATTACGTAATGTTTTCACAAAGCTCCTTTTAATCAGTCTCATTATTATATCTTTATTCACATTTCTTCTCAAGTCTGTGTCTATATAAATAAACATGGAAACACTGGCCCTTACCTGGATGCAAAGAAAATCCAGCAGCTGCCTGACCACTTTGGCCCAGGTCCTGTGAATGTGGTACTCCGGCGGACTGTGCAGGCCTGTGTGGATTGTGCCTTTGAGGCAAAGACTGTTTTTGGATTTCTCAAGCCAGATAATCGTGGAGGAGAATTGATAACTGGTATACCAATCTAATCCATTATTTCTTTTCCAAATATTATTTCAAGTTTATAGAAGGCAGGATTTTATAACACAGACTGTAATGTTTATATCCTATTAATATACTGTGATCTTTATAACACTGATAGAATATGTAGAACAGTTACCATATATGTTTATAGATTTAACACTGGTTTGGAAAGTTTACTTTCAAAATAGACAAATGTTGGCACTTGTCACTAAAATTGAAGTAAAAGATTTTTCCTTTTACTTGCAGTGGGGAAGCTCACTATAGACAGAGTATCTTGGTTGATAATATATTTTAAGTTGTATAGAAAGCAGACTGCTGTATAAGAAGTTTAAAATAAACAGTATGACTCAAGAACTCATTAAGATGTAAGATACAACTGGTAGTGTTAGTATGATTGAATACCACAACATTTGTACCTGTGGAATGTTTGGAATAGAAGAAAGTGTTATTATAGATCAAGAAGTCTCTGTTCTTTTTACTCTCTGAATATTTTTAAATAAGTACATTTTTACCAATACAGGCTATTGTGTTTGAGTGAGAGGAACTTTTTTTAGATAAGATTATTTCTTTATTAATTAAAAAAAAATTTTAAATTTTTATTTAAATTTAATCGATGGAGGGTGTGTTGGTGTTGTATTTCTTTTTTTCTTTGGCAGCACTGGGGTTTGAATTCAGGGCCTCATGCTTGCTCGGCAGGCACTCTACCACTTGAGCCATTCCAACAGCTCTTGTGTTATATTTCTCTGTGAGATGACTGACACTTCCCACCTCCCAAACAGCCTTCTTTGATGGGGAAAACCATGCCATCCAGCTCCCTCCAGTGAATAGCGCATCATTTGCTCTTCGCTTTCTTGAGACTTTGTGTCACAGTCTGCAGAGCGATAATCTTTTGAGTAGCCAACCTTTCAGCTCTTACAAGGACAATACTGAAAACCCTGTGGAACATGATCAAAATAAACCAGGTGAGAGAAATTGTAGATTTTTATACTATGCTTCTATTTTATATTTTATACTTTACTTGAGAATCTTGTGTAGTTCCTAGTTTTTATTTCTGTCCTCCTCAAAGTAAACATTTTAGCCACCATGAACTAATTAGAAGTGTATGGCATGCAGTTAGTGCCTCTCATTTAAAGTGAGAAAGTAAATTGTGTTTCTAATGAACTCAAGAATCAAAGTCAAGTGGATTATGTTTGGCTTCTTTGTGACTAGTTTACAGTTGCACATTTTCTATTAGATGTAAATGCTGCTTTAAAGTTATATACCTTAATCCTAACAATTTAGCAAAGCATGTTGAACCTATTGGCTATAAAGAATGATCTGCTTAACTTTGACATTTAAGCCTCGGTTGCCTCTCTTCCATAAGAACTCCAAACTGACACCTAAATAAGAGGATGGCTATAAGATAGTCCTGTAGAAACAAAAGTAGGTTCTTATTTCTGATCTCCAAAGTAAGAAAGCTCTGAGTTTTTTGGCAAATTTTATTTAGAAGAAAAGTTTGCCTCCTTTTCATCTACTCTTGGAAGCTAACCATGTTCTGCTGATTACAGCAGGATCTTGTGTATCTTTTAAGAGTAGCTAAAGTTCTCAAGTATTATGAATTTCATGGCTTTCTGGTCAGGTACTACAGATTCTGGGAATATAAAGTATCACATCTGTTTAAGTCCAAGAATCCAAGTTTGCATTCCAACTAGGTGTGAAGCTTGGACACCATTCTAGTTTCTCTTTTCTGGTCCTCCACACTTTCTTCATACACTGTCTTATCTACTTCAGTAAAGACTCTCCGAACTATTCCCTCCTCTCCATTTCCTGTCACTACCCTCCTTTGGAACCCTGTTAACAGCTTCTGGTTTACTAAAGCGGTCCTGTAACTGGAATCCTCCTTACAGTTTCTCCCTGCTAGTATAACTGCTCAGTGAGTGTCTTTGAAATAAAGTATGATATCCTTGCAAAATATGCATAGACAGTGGAATAGAGTACTTGTGTTGGAATTTATCAGACATGGATTCCAGTATTGACCCTGTAATTTATCTGTGTGCTGAAAGGCCATGACATCTGACAGATCTAAAATTTAATCCATGTCCTGATATTAATTAGCCATATGCTTATGCACAAAGTACTGAACCTCCCTGAGTCTCAATTTCCCTAGCAGCAAAGTGGGTACTTCTTGAGTTGTGAGAAAGGTTATGTAAACTCAGCCTGCATTATGTATGGCATGAAATGGCAACAATAAAACGTAGCTGCTAGAAGTAGGTTGAAGAGGAAGAGTGAAAGTTCATATTCTCGTGTAATATTATCCTCCTTTGCTCCTTCAGAAGAGGTAAGAGGTTACCAAAAATAGTAGAATTAGAAGATGGATAGAAAGTGCTTGATCACCTATGGGGATGGAGGAAGAGAGGGAATGCTTGTGTATGTGTGAGAGAGAGAGACAGAGAGACACTGACTTTTTGTCTGTAATAGTAATTTGGGGAAAATACGAGTTAGAGAAGTCAAAAGTACAATTTCCTGATTTTTTTTTAAAGCATTCAGAATGCCAGTGACTTATACTGAAAGATTTTTGAAAATTGTTTGAAAGATTGCAAAGAAAGTGTCATTTTTCTTTTAAAATTGAGCACAGACTGCTTGAATTTTCAGATTTATCAAATAACTGGACTGGGTTACTACTAGACAGAATATACCAAGGTATCCTAAATAATATTTCAATTTTCTCTCACAAAAACCTTAATTTAGCCATTTGAAAATGGATTTGAACTGGAACTTTTATGTTGTCTTTAAGTTTGCTTACAGTTAAAGATGTTGCATGTAATTATAAAATTGATTCTTCCTAAAAATTCATGTCCAATATCCCACTTATTTTATATTTTCTGAATAAGTGACTCAAAATATTTTTAAGATAAAGTACTTTTAGGAGATTTTGATTGACAAATATAGTGCTTGCTTATTTTAGCAATAGTCAATTTTAAGACATTTCACTGAAGTATAATATACAATGCAAAAATATACATGTAATACAGCTTAATGTTCACAAAGTAAACATAGCTGTATAAGGAGATCCTGCTTGAAAAAGTAGACATTAATAGTATCCTGGAAATAGCCCTATTGTGTCAACCCCCTGCTTCCATCTGATATTCTGCCTTGATTCTTGTGAGTGTAACTCCTGTCCTGACTTCTAGTACCATATGTTGTTTTTGCCTGCTTTTGAATTTTACAAAAGTTGAATTAATGCAGTATGTATTCTTTTGTGTCTAAACTTTTCTCTCTCATCATTATGTTTCTAAGATTAATCTATATCATTGCATGTAGTTAGATATTTCATTTTCATTGCTGTATAATATTCTGTTATGTAAAAAATGCCATTATTAATGCATGTATCCATTTAGGTACTTCCCATTTGGTACCACTATGAGTAGTGTTATTGTGAATTGTCTGGTACATGTCTTCTGGTGAAATATGTATGCCTTTCTGTTCTTGTATCTATCCAGGAATAGAATTTCTAGGTCATAGGAAATGCACAGGTTCAGCTTTAGTGGATACCATCAAGCAGTTTTTCACAGTGGTTGCCCTAGTTTACTGTTCTATTAGCCATTTGCTTCCTTTTTTTTTTTTTGGTGGTGGTACTGGGGGTAGAACTCAGTGCCTTGTACTTGCTAAGCAAAACACTCTACTACTTGAGCCATGCCCCCAGCCCTTTATGCTTTGGTTATTTTTCAAATAGGGTCTTGCTTTATGCTCAGGCTAGCCTGGACCTCATCCTCCTATTTATGCTTCTCATGTAGCTTAGATGCCAGGCATGCCCCACCACACCCAGCATATGTGGGTTGAGATAGGGTCTTTTGAACTTTTTATCTGAATGGGCCTTAAACCATAACACTCCCAATCTCTGCCTCGCAACTACCTCATATTACAGGCTCATGCCACTATGTCCAGCTTTGCTTTTTAAAATAAGTTCTCTGGTGACATTTTCTATTTGTTAAATCATATTATAATCCTGTCTACTAAAATACAAAAAAAAAAACCTTGTCTAATGAAACTAATATCTTTCCTCTCAACCATTGATTATATGGTCTTGCTTCTTTACATGTTTTGTTTTTTGATATGTTGAACATTATGCTCCAGATTTCTACCTTGAACATTTCTTTTTTCTTAAGTAGAAAGAGAGAGTGACTGTTTCCAATCAGAGACTGAACTGGGTTGTGGCTGAAGAGCGGTTTTATTCAGACTCAATCTAGAGTGTTGTAGCTCAGTGGTAGAGTGCTTGTATAAGATACACAAGGCCTTGGGTTTGATTCCCAGCACTGCCAAAAATAGATAGAAGACTCCATCTCTCTGGTTCATCCCCAGGCAGTTGATTGAGAACCTGGCAATTCTCTAGCTCCTCAACCCTGAAAGACTATGGGAAATTTTACCTTTACACTTTAGAGGTTTGCAGCTCCACTCTTTAGCCTTTTTCCTCATGTATTTGAAAAATTCTGACTGGGCACAGTGATGCATGTCTGTATCTCAGCACGCAAGAGGCTGAGGCAGGAAGATCATGACATCAGGGCCAGCCTGGACTATGTAATGAATTCCAGGCCAGGCTGGGCCACATGAGACCCAGTTTCAAACAACAACAAATTGGCCATATGTATTGAGTGATAGACCACTGCGTATTTGAGCTAAACCTCTTTTCCTGGTGGGTCTTTATTTCTTAAGCTCCACAAGGCTGGGAGATTTCAGTATGCCTTTCAAGAGCTTTCAGCTTAGCTACCGAACTCTGCATATAGCCCCAGAACTCAGCAAATGTCTCATGGGGGAAAACCACATATGAGTTTAGGTTTCCAGTTTTGTAACTCCAGCTGTGCGAAGCTGCTAAATCTTTTTAAATTTATTTTTGTCTTAGCAGAGCCCTCTGCCTGGGTAAAGTACTATTTTTAGTGCAGTATCAAGAATCAGCAATTTCCCACAGTGGGGAAAATGATGAAAACCTTTCGTTTAGGTTAGAATGGTTCTTCTCTAGCTGGAATTTGATTTTACTAGTTCCTGTGACTGTCATACGTCTATGGTACTTTTCTTATAATAACTTTATTTATATCTTAATATTTATTTATTTATATCTTAATAAAGTTCACATACCATAATTTTACTCTTTTGAAGTATATGACTCAGTGGTTTTAAGTGTATCCATAGAGTTGTGCAGTCATCACCACTACCCAATTCCAAAATACTTTCTTCATCTCAAGAAGAAATCCCATTAACATTAGCAGTCATTTTTCTTTTTCCTCTCCCTCTAGTCACTAATCTACTTTCTGTCTCTATGAATGTTCCAAATTCGGGACATTTCATATTAATAGAATCATGCAGCAAGTAGCCTTTTTTGTGTGGCTTCTTTTACTTAGTATAGTGTTTTCAAACATCATCTATGTGATAGTGTAAATCAGTACTCCATTACTTTTTATGACTAAATAATATTGCATAGTATGTATATGCCACATTTTGTTCTTATTCATCAATTGATGGACTTTTGTGTTGTTTCCACCTTTTGGCTCTTAGGAATACTCCTGCTATGAACATTTGTGCACAAGTTTTTGTGTGGGCATATGTTTTTAGTTCTTTTGGGTATAAACCTAGGAGTAGAATTGTTGGGCCATATGATAACTGTGTTTAACTTGAGTAGCTGAAAGACTTTTCCAAAGAGGTGGTGCCATTTTGCATTTCCATTAGCAGTGAATGAAAGTTTTAGTTTCTCGATGTCCTTGTCAACACTTGTTACCCAATTTTTTAAAAAAATATAACCAGCTTTGTGAACATGGAGTGGTCTCATTGTAATTTGATTTGCATTTCCCTAATGCCTGATGTTGAGCATCTTTTCTTGTGCTGATTGGGCATTTGTGTACCTTATTTGGAGAAATATCTGTTCAAGTCCTTTGCTCATTTTTAATTGGATTAATTTTCCTTCTACCGTTGACTTATAAGAATTCTTTATTCT